TCATTGTCATTGTAATTATTGTAATTGTCAATCTCAATTCTTCTTTTTGACATTATTAATTAATTTAATTAATTTATGCTTATGCTGTGGTTTTTTTTTTTAATTGAAAATAATATATTAATGAATGAGATAATAATAATGAAATAGTGTTACCAGAATTAGATTTTGATGCAGATCTTTTGGTTGAATCTTTTAATTCCAGACAATTTTATTATTATTATTATTACTTTTATTATTTATATTTTTTATTAATTCTATTTATTTATCAATAATGTGTATAATTATTTATTATCATCTGAATTCATGTTATGTTTTGCATATTTAATTATTATTATTATTAATCAATCCATAGCACATTCATATTTATTTAACTTTATTTAGTAGAGATTAATGACAATTCTCCCAGAATGGGCAGAATTGCTCAAAACATGCAGATTTGCCCAGGTACAAAGTGAGCAAATTCATGCAATCTGAGCGAAAATGCACAATTTGAGCAGATTCGCCTAAACCAAGCAGATTTGCACAATTCGGGCTAATATGTAAAGAACATGTATATAAAGAACTTGATTTTGACCTAATGTTTCTTACAAGTTAATTAGTTTTGTCTAAATAAAACTAAATAAATAAAATAGGAATATTTTATTTAAACTTTTTGTATCTTTAACCAAAATTATAACAAAATCAATTCATTGATCCCCTATTCATTCTGATCCACACAAAACAAAAATAATTGTTATCACCAATTAAATACACTCTCCCAAATTTAATTGGTGACAATAGTAATAATAATAATGAAATAATGATAATGATAATGATAATGAAATAGCAATAACAATTAAATAATAAAAAAATAAGGTTTTCACTGATCACCAAATAATTTTTCCATAATAACCATGTAATTTATTATTATTTTTATTTTACATAAACACTTGCATCAATTATTGATTTTTTTTATGTCAAAATTGTTATTTTGCCATTTATTTTTATTCATTTATTAGTATCTATACTAGTTTCAAAAATAATTTTGAGCTTCTAAAGGCAATTATAACATGATGTTGACCTGGGTCAAACCCAGGTCAATTAAATCATGACCCAACCTGACTTGTTCGGGTCAATCTGACTCATTTTGGAGCTCTATTCAAAGTATTTATATTATTCTATCACTCTAACTTGGTGAAGGTAAATCCACATATTTCTCATATTTCTCATAATCCATTGGATTGATACTATGTGCTTTTTGCCAGTGGGTTTTTGAGGGGAATGTTTAATATGGTGAATATATCTTTTCAATGCCAAAGCTTGAGAATGCAAAAGTGAATTGCAATAGTGTGTTTTCTTTAATTCCTCAAGTACATTAACACTGTCATTTAAACCTCTATGTACAAAAAAAAAAAAAAAAAAAGATATCTTCAGGGGAAAAAGAACAATAAAAAATTTTTACTTACTCCAAAATCCCATAAGATTGGCAATGCATGCAAAAGCTCATGGTGACTCTCCCAACTGATTGGAAGCTGAAAAGTACCAAGGAGAAACAGCTTTTGGAAGATTTTTCAAGTATCCAACATCAGCTAAATGCCTTCCAACCATTCTATAGGATACCTCTATACCTGTATTTGATAGACTTTGTTGCCAAAGTTCTTGTTGAAATAGAGGAATCCCTATGAATATATTGTCCTAATGCCCTTGAAGCATTTGCTGTGATCTTCTTTAGCCGACTGCTACCATGTGTATGCTGTGTTGTTCCCAAATTCTTGAGCTTTTTAAGGTTATCATATATAGTGGAGAGGGGTATATTTGTTCTTCTATGTATTTCTTTAGCATTTTGTACACCCTCATTCCACAAATGTAATAAGGTTTGATATTGAGTTTCTTGCTTGGAGGTTGTCATTTCATGAGTTGTTTTGTAAAAATAGTAGTAAACATGAAAGATTGTCAAAATTTAATAATTAATCTTGTGTTTCATTATCTATTTTAAACATTGTAAATCGGACTTAAATTGAGGTGGTTAGACATGACACTATGGCATTCAAGATTTTCTGGTTTTTTTGTCCCACACTGTAAATAAAATGCCTAAGTTAGAGTGAAAGGAAGGGGATGAAAGGAAGGATAAAAGAAAGTAAAGATATAGAACTTACTGAGATTTGTGAAGAGTAGAAGGACCACAAGTCACTTCAGCAACAGACTTTCCTGAAGGCAATAGCCAAATGTCCATCAGACTATCCTTGGTGGGATATGCTAATACAGATGTCATATTCTCTGACCTGAACTCAATAGGTGCAATGCTTGGACCCACTTCAATTCCAACTTCAAACTCATCATCATAGTCATCATTAACATCACAATAAGAATTTATTTCTGTTTCATCATTTGAATTTTCATCACCTGAATCAGCAACTTCTATGCATGGAGGAGTTCAAGGTTCAGTAATTGAATGTAGTTCTACATACTACACATAAAGAATAAGATTTAGATATGGAAGCAAAAACTGTGACCTTTTTTGTTAATATCAATGAATTATAGAAGTAAAATACTGAGTGCTTTTTTGGACATTCATCATCAAAATTCTCTATATAAAAGAGGAAAAAAAGAAGTAAACAAATTTATTTCCACAATTCTATATACTTTGTTACATACAGATTTAGAGATAATTACCATTAGACAGGGTTGGCAAATGTATGGTCCATTGGTGATCCATTGGTTCCATCAGTGTAGCATTTTAGCCATATTTAGTAATTTATTAATGGCAATGGACCAGTTCAAAGTCCATCAGCTCTTAATGGACCAGTCAATTTGCCAACTCTGCCATTAAAATATTACAATCATTAATCAGGTCTTGCATCTTATTATATTCCTATACATTTTTGGTCCATTCCTAGGAAAAAAAAATAGAATTAACATAAAAATTAGATGCACTATTATTATATCAGTGTTGAATTTGAGAGAAGGTTCTTGAACTAAGAGTTCATAACCAAACAACTAAGAGTTGTACAGCTTTGCAGGAACTAAGAGTTCATAACCAAGCAACTAAGAGTTGCATAGCTTCTGCTAAGAAAGAGTAGGTGTGAACTAAGAGTTCATAACTGTGCAACTAAGAGTGTTACAGCTTAACCATACTCTAACCTCTTCTCCCCCTTTTTTTTTTCAGTCTTTATTCTTAATATTTCTTGTAAGCATACTTTCCAGTTGTTAAGTATAGATTGTGCTTTTTCCTTGCATGTTGTGTCAGGATCATTATTTGCAATTCATTTGAGATCTTTTTTTACATGATCAAGCACTTGTTTAAGATTATATTGTATATTATTTTCTTTGTAGTATTTTATAACATTCTCACATTTCCATATACAAACATCAGTTTTAAAAAAATCCATGTAAAAAATATATTTTTTTAATATTATTTTTTTTTGTTATTTTTTTTTTTTTCAGTCAAATCTTGAAGATCTAAATATTGCACAATAATGATAATAAATTTTTTGGTGTCATAGGATTATGACATCATAATCAAAATATTATCCCCATTTTTTGAATTTGTGCATGTGGCGCAGCGTTTGATGTTTTAGATTACGCGCCGCCCCCAAAATTGCAGCAATTCTACCTCTTGTATTTGTTTAAACACGTTCGTTTTTTGTTTTTTTTCCACAAGTTATAAAAAAAGTTCTCAAAATGTTCACAAAGGTAAAAAATGAATAATAAAATTAATAGTTTTAGTCAATTTATATTGATGATATTAATTAACATTTATTCCTATTACTATAGATTATTTCTTTCTTCTTATCCCCATTTTTGTCAATCTTTGATACCGATATAAAAAATAAATTAACTAGGCAAAAATCACAAAGGGTTGCTATTAAAGCGCTTTTTATTAGCATTGCCCTTATATCTTTGGCGATTATTGCATTGCTTTCTTATTTGATCTTTTATATGGTTTATATTCCTAAACTTGTACATTCATACCCTGTTTATTTACAATATCAGTAAGTATATTATTATTATTATTATTATTATTATTATTATTATTATTATTATTATTATTAGTGGTAGTAATTGAAATATTTTCATAATTCTATATTATATACATGTGTCTGTCTAATTAAATTAAATATTTCATTTTATAAAATTAGTAAAAATAATTCACCTTATGCTATTGTTGACTTTACAAACAACGGTTTATATGATAGTGTAAATAATTCAACTTTTTCACTGGAACCAAATATAATTAATATATGAGTGTGTGTTGATAATTGCCAATTAATATTTTTTTAGATTTTAACTGAAGACCAAAGTTACATTGTTTCAGTAGATTTAAATGTTCCAGTTTCTGAGAGGAATATAGCGTTAGGTTTGATTGATATTTAATATTTCTTATTAATTAATGAATTATATTATATTAATTTATTCTTATTTAATAGGAAATTTTATGATTGGACTGGAATTGAAATCTAAAGACAACAAAACGGTCCAATCATCTAGTCGCCCAGCTAATATTAATTTATTGAAATCATTTGATATTGTTTGTTGATTAAGGTTTTGATAATAACATAATAATGATAATAATTTATATCATTATAGTGTATTCTTGCCTATCAATCAACCCCTCTTCGTATTTTTACAACTATATGGCAAATGTTACCTTTATTATTTGGATTTTCTAAGGAGGAACAAAATTTACATGTTGTAATGTTAGAAAATATGGTAGAATCATCAGTAAGTTGATTTTGTCAATATAAAAAATTTTTATTTCAGGTTTATTAATATGTTACTAATATTCAGGAAGCACCAATAACCCATGCAATCATTACTATTTCAAATGAAAACTTGGAAGTTTATATTGCAAAAATAAGATTGGATGCTTATTTTCAAGGCTTACGGTAAAATTATTTTTTGACTTATTTTATTAATCAAAATTGTTTTTTATATATTCGTAATTTCAGAAGAAAAATCTAATTATTTTATTATAATATTTGATGGTATCACATATAGGTACTTCATGTATTATCATAGCATTTCTACGGCAATTGTTTTTATTACAATATTTCTACTTTGGGAATCATTTTTTTCAATTATTGCTTGGAGGTCATTTGTTTCATGGCAACATAATAATGGCGCAGAAAACATTGTTGCAAAAATTTCAAAAAATAAAGAAAATGTTGATTTGTCAAATTCTGTATTAGATCAAAATCAAGAAATTAGATTCGAGGAAGACAATGATAGTAATAATAATATTAGAGATGATAAATGGTTAGAAGTTCGTTATAATGACAAAACCATTGACAGTAAAATTGCCGATTCCGAAAGTGAAAATGAATCGGTAATTGTATTTTAATAATATTAATTGATGATCGATTCAATTTATTTCTATTCTACTTAAAAACTTTATAATCGGGGATTTTTTTAGTTACCTCCAGGGTTAAATGTAAATTTACAAGTAAATAATGATTCCTTATTTGAAACTGATGAAGACGAACATAGTATTGTGTCAAGACTATCATTAGATGAAGAATCCGAGACTGCTGAATCAACTGGTAATAAAACTGATGGAAGTGCTACACCTACTAACATATTTATTCAAAAGAATACTCCAACTAGACTATCAACTACGCATGATGATTCTGAAGAAGGCGGCGGAGCATCAACAAGTGGATCTACAACATCTGCTACCTAGGTATGTCAAAGATAAATTGGTTACCGATTTTGCATCTAGTATCAGCGTTAATTAATACTGGAAGAAGAGTGAGAATCAACAATTTTATATTATATTTCATCATTATATTATATCCATTTATTATTATCAAAAATTATATATATATTATTTTATTATTATTATTATGAATTAAATGGTTTAAATGGATAAAATGGGTTTATAGTTTGTTGAAATTCTGATGATAATAATAAAAATTTGCAACGATATTAAATGAGGTTTTTAAATATATAAATATGAATATTCATTTGAATTAATTGATTTTAAATTTTATGTACTTTAACCACCTGCCATTTAATTTTGTGCATACGTTGACCTCTATCTAACAGGATAACTAACCCATAGCGTGTCTTTTATCTTTGTAAAAAAAAGAGCCAATGGCTGTGTGATGAGTATCATTCCTTATTTCACACACTCAATTTTCATCTTTAATTTATTCTGGTAATTGACATGTTTTACATCAATTCCATAAAATTATTGAAGATCAATGTAACACGAATATATTAAAAAGCTTGCTGATCATTTACATTTATCGAAATTTGCTTTTCAGATGGATATACCAAACCTCCTCGAGCAAGTAAGTTAAATTATTGATCAATTTTTTTTGATTTTTTTCCTTTTTTTAACAGAATTCAATACTTATTGATGTCTTTTAGCTTACCAAGAATATTTATCAGTATGATTTGCATGTTCAGTACATTCAAGCACTTCGTCAGGCTGGACTGTTTGAAGAGTTGAAAGATGCAAGGAAAACTATGCATGAAATTTTTCCAATGTCTGAAGGTATTAATTAAAAACCTTAATGATTAGTCTCTGCTATATTGGTTTATATAATTTATTTTCAAATATAGAATTATGGCTTGAGTGGATAGACGATGAAGCTCATATGGCCTCCACAAAAGAAGCAAAACAGAGGATAATTCATATTTTTTCAGAAGCTGTTCAAGATTATTTATGTATGTTATAATCAAAAAGGCCTTGAAATATTAATCTATATTTATATATAATCTTTTTATTGAAAGCTTTTTATAATTCCACTTTTATACTTTTAGCCATTAATATTTGGAAGAAATACGCAGATTTTATGGTTCAAGAATATAATGATTCAGAAGAATTGATGGAGGAGTGTTCAGAAAATTCTTTTATAACTTTAGATCAAGTTCGTAAGGTCTTTGATCAAGCAATCAGAGAAATAAATTATTTTATAACACAGGTATATTTTCTTATTAATAAATTTTACGAGTTTGAGTTTATCATTATCAATATATAAATATATTTATTTATATATAATTTAGAGTAACCAAATATGGGATGCCTATATGGATTTTGAAGAAAAAATTTTAGAGGTTCTTATAAATATATAAATAAATTATACATATCCTTGTTCTTTAAAATATTAATATAAAAAATAACAATTATCAAATTATAATTTGATAGAAAACACCTAGGTACGTTGACACAAAGAACTGTGATTATTGATATCGATAATGATTATTAAACAGTATATGTGTATCATTTTTAAAAGTGACGAAACGCAAAAAAATTTGGTAAAAAGATTGTATTTAAATAGACTGCAGGTGCCACATGCAAGTGAGTTAGTCATATGTATTTAACAAAAAATTTGTAGTCTGAAATAATAATGGAGAAATTTCTTTTAGCCATAGAAAAGACTTGGATGGATTATTCGACTTTCATTACGAATTATGATAATTTAAATTATGAGAAAAACATGTTAGAGGCAATTCAAATTTACAACAAGGCTAAAGATATGTATTATAAAAGAGATCAGTATGAACAATCATTAGTAAGTTTCCATTTATATTGAAGTTTTAATATACACGATTTACTAATTAATTTATTTATGCCTTTTTTACCCAATCATTAGCTTGAGTCTGGCTATGCCTTACAACAATTCTTAGATTATATAAATTTTGAGAAAAAACAAAAGCTTCATCCAGCGGTCCTTACTTTGTACGAAAGAGCCCTGTCTATTCATTACTTAGAACCGGCTCTTTGGGAAGATTACATTTTCTATTTAAGTGAAAAAAAGGCTTCGCATATACTTGCTAAAGTAGCTGAAAGAAGTGTTCGCAATTGTTTATGGTCAGGCGATCTTTGGGGTCATTACATCCGTATTTTAGAAAAAAGTAATGATGTTGGTGCAAGTGATCAGATTGATGATGTAGTTAAAAGTTGTATCGCTATTGGTATGTTGAACAGCGTTGATGAATATTTAAAAATGATCTTGGCCTATTGTGATTACAAAAGAAGAAAGTTAAATATTTATCAAGATCTGACAAATCAGCAAAGTCTATCAGATTTAATTGAATTCATTGAAGAACAATTGAAATTATTAAACCAAGGTATTTATCTAAATAATTATACGAAAAACCTCCGATTGTATTTATTATTTACTTATATATACAGTATATAGTTTTTCGAGATGGAGATCCACATTATCGTTTGGAAAAGTATTTGATTGAAATGGAGGTAGAGAATTGTTTTAAGTCAATATTTATTGTGTGAAAGATTTTCAGTATTATGGATCTATTAATATGTATTGATTTGGATTAGACTCTTAAAAAAGATATTCCAAAATCTCACCAAACTTGGGAAAAGATAATAAGTAAACATCGCAATGAATCTGAAGTTTGGCTTCAATATGCTAATTGGGAAAAGTTCGTATTTACAATATTGTAGTCGTTCCTATTCGAATTAATAATCATCATATTTATTTTGTACAGATCTTTAGGTAATATTGAACAAGCTCGTAAAATTTTCAAAAATGCTTCACATCAGAACACGGACTGGCCTGAACGTATATTTAATGAATGGGAACAGTTTGAACATCATTATGGAACTTTAGATACTATTGAAAGTGCCCATCAATTTATTAGGAAGCAATCAAAAATTGTTACTCACAGACGTGAAAAGGTATGGTATAGGCTATATGTATATGTGATTTTGGTTGAGCTAATTTACTAATTTCATTGAAATTTTTAAGGCTGTTTTGCAAACACAAGCTGAAGATCCTTCGTTTAAAATGATAGAATCTGAACAATCCACCAAACTTGTTGAAATAAGAGATTCTTCTGGCGATGAATTAAATAAAAAACGGAAAGCTAAAGAAGAACTATTAGTAGAAGAAACACCATCGACAAAAAGAAATAAGGGTACAATATCAAATTCAAATTGTTTATCCATTTTATTATTTATAACGAATGTTTCTTTAAAATCTATTTTTACACCCTTTTTTATGTTTAGGTCAAAATCATGAAAAAATTAAACGGTAAACTATTATAACCTTATTTGTTATAATTAATTCCAGCATATTTATTCTTTTTGTCGTCCAATTTTAGTGATCGAGAGTTTGCAACAGTAATTGTTAGCAATTTGCCACAAGATGTTACAGAAGGGAAATTGAAATCGATGTTCCATGATGTAGGTTTTTTTATCCTGAAATAGTTTTGGTAAAAGTTATGTTTTACTTACACGAGTAATACTATATATAATAATAGTGTGGGAAAATACGAGAGGTCCGCTTAAAAAATGAAACTGATGATTCACAAAAACTAGCATTTATTGAATTTGTTAATAGAGTAATATTTTATTAATTTTGGTTAACTAAAGAAATCTGTTTATTATTGATTTTATGTTGTTCATTAATCTAATCATATTTAAATTTTAAAGGAAAGTGTTCTTGCAGCATTAACTAAAGATAAAAAAAGAATCGATGAAAATGAAATTTCAGTTTACAGGACATCCGAAAGAACTTTATTCGTCACCAACTTCCCTGAATCAACAGATTTGCATGAATTATTTAAAAAGGTAAACAATCATATGCTAGAACATATTCTTTATAGTTTTAATTATATCATTTTAAAAAAATCTAATTACATCATTTAATAAAATGAATTAGTATGGTGAGATTATTGAAATTCGTGTACCAAATAAAGTTGTCAAGAAAAGAAGATTTGCATATGTGGAATTTAAAGATCGAGTATTTTATCATTTGTGTTTAATTAAATTTAAATTTAATGATAATGTTTATTATTGACAAGTAAAATTTTTATTAAAGGAATCAGCTCATTCTGCATTAGAATTGAATGATTATGAACTGGTTTCTGGTGAAAAATTAATAGTTTTAGTATCAGATCCTTCTTTAAAGAAAGCCCGATCTCCATCAAGGTATTAAAATTTTTCGTCTTTACTGATTATTGTAAAATATTTGATTTTATACTTATATGTTTTAAATAATAGTTCTAATCGTGATGTTCTACAAAAAAGCGAGGCAAATAAAAAAAGGTTTTTAGATATCAACTTTTATTCAATAAATTTTGTTGTTTAATGTTATGAAATTTTCATGGTTAAATTTTTTCCATGATGCATATTTTGGATATCTTATTAACTATTAACTTTTTAAAAATTTATATTTAGCGATCAGTTAAAATCATTCACAGTTACAGTACCTAAACCTAGACCTTTTAAAAGGCCATCGGCTAAAATAATCGCACCTAAAAAAAATCCACAATCTTTGTTGAATAAAGAAGGTAATTTAAACTTTGATAATAAATCTATGTAAATGATATAGTAAAAAAAAAATTTTTTTTTAGATGTTTCCGCGACCGTTACTACAGAAGATAATAATTTTAAAGCTGAGGCAACGATTCAAATGGATCATAATAATGACAGCAGTATTTCTAGTTCTTCAGGCAATAAAAAGACAAATGCTGATTTTAGGAATATGTTTTTACAAAGTAAAAAATAGCTTATATACTTCATGAGGTAATAAAAAAGTTAGTCCGTTTATCACTTTCCTTTTATATAATTTATTGTAGTCTCGTGACAGTAGATCAACGAAGTGGATTTTTATAGCTTAAGTTTTGTATAATAAAGCTACAATGATATCGAGCCCATTATTACACATTTTACGATTGGCTGTTTTTTTTAAAAAATTTTCTTTGGTCAAATTACATTACACATAAAAAACAAAATTACAGCATGCAATGAGAAAATTGGTATTAGTAATTTCGGATATATATTTCTGCTGCTATTAATATCAATATTAATATTAATATTAATTTCGGTTGCATACATGAAAAAACTTTGGATTTGTGAGTAATCTATCATAGATATATAAGTTACTAAGACTGAAATTAGCCAGCTAACTTCTTAATTATTTATTTTGTTTCCATCAATAAATGCTATTATCTTTTCTCTTGGATTGATATTGTTTATTTCGTTTTTTTAAAAAGTAATACATTCTTAGTCGTTGAATCCAAAGCTGAAATTTTAATATTAATAGTAGCCGAAGTTATATCCGAAATCATTTAAACTCCTTAATTAAAAATAAATCATAGCATGGTTCATTCATATGAAGAATGTCGAGAATTCAAGTATCGCCAAAATATTCTGCAAATGCAAAAACAGTTTTGGCAGCATCTATGATTGAAGTTGGAGAATTGTTATCGTTGCTGATTTAAATTAGCCAGTTGTTGGGATAGGCTAAGGTTAGTGAGAGAACGTACCCTCACAATATTGCAAACTCGCCAATGAATTTTATGTTGTATAATATTAAACACAGAAAAACGATGGTATTATCAATTAGTTAAAATTTAAAAAAAAACTAAGGTTTTGGCATTTCACAAAATTTGGTGTTCCCGTTTAGTGTAACAAGTAAATGGTATTTATTGTTTTTCACACAATATTAATTAAAAAAAAATAGCAAAAAAAACCAAAATGGCTCCGGAAACAAAGAGCCGTAAACCTGCGAGTTAGTGATTCAAGAACTTGTTTAAGTTTTTATTTTCAGATGAATTCTGTTTTTAACCTCTAAAGCATTTGCTTTTTTTTAGATACCGCCTTTAAACAACAACGATTAAAGGCATGGCAACCTATCCTTACACCAAAAACAGTTTTGCCAACTTTCTTTATCATTGGAATCATCTTTGCACCACTTGGTGGTTTATTGTTATGGGCTAGTAACAATGTAAATAGATATTTATCAAAATACATTTTATTTTTCTATAACAAAATAATTTTTAATTGCTGTTTCATAAATAATTACATACATATATAAATTTAGGTGTCTGAAATTAATGTTGAATATACATTTTGTGATTCAGCAGCCCCAATTTATCCAATTTTTGAAAAAATGCCATCTAAATATATTCAAACTTCATTTCCTGGAGCGACACCAGGATTTGTTGGATCAACACATTGGAGTCGTCAAGTTATTGTACCGATTCAATCTAACCCCCAAAAGATATCATATTGGAGTTGTAGAATAAGATTCGATATACCAAATCAATTGGAACCTCCAGTCTTTTTTTATTATCATTTAACAAATTTTTACCAAAATCATAGACGTTATGTCAAAAGTCTTGATCCTGATCAATTGAAAGGCGTTGCTGTTAGTCCATCAAATTTACAAAAAAATTGCAAACCAATGGCCGTTACATCCGATGGTTTGCCAATTTATCCTTGTGGCTTGATTGCTAACTCCCAATTCAATGGTAAATTATGACAAGTAGATTGTTGTTGCTGTTAAAACATTTTTATTTGCAATTTTATATTAATAAATATTTTTTAATTTTAGATACAATCAGTAATCTCTCACTTTTAAGCGAATCAAATCTTGATGTTATTGAAGGATCGTATAACTTTAGTCAAAGTGGTATAGCATGGCCATCTGACAGACAAAAATATGGAAAAACAACTTATGACTACAGTCAAATACGTCCACCACCCGATTGGGTTGATAGATATCCTAATGGTACTTACACAGCTGAATATCCACCACCTGACCTTCCAAACGATGAACTTTTTCAAGTCTGGATGCGAACAGCTGGTCTACCTAGCTTCAGAAAGCTTTATGGTAAAAATGAAATAGAGCCATTGAAAGCTGGAACCTATGAAGTTATAATTGAATACAGTAAGTTTTCTTTTCAAAAAAACCATTATTTGCTACTCATTTATAATTAATTAAATGAACAATATTAATAATATTTTTTAAAAAAAAGAATTTCCTGTTACTAGATATGGTGGAACCAAGTCATTTGTAATTTCCACTGTATCATTCCTTGGTGGTAAAAATCCTTTCTTGGGGTTCGCTTATATTGGAGTTGGTATTCTTTGTGTGCTACTTGGATGTGCATTTACTGCTAGACATTTATACAAACCAAGGTAACAAAATATTTTTATATAGACATAGTAATATTAATATAATTTTTTATATCATCGAGTTAATTATTATAATTTTTTATTTTAGAAAACTGGGTGATCATGCTTATTTGTCTTGGAATAATCCTACACCTACAAACAACCAATAATCATAGGATTTCGAATTAACTAGGATCAAATTGTATGATAATTTGATTTAAAAAATTTAAATAAATAATTAATTAAATCACACTCATTCATTTATTCATTCGCCCAACGAACATTCATTTAATTAATATATATTTTTTAGATTGTTATATTTAGTAAAGTTAATCCATTTCTATGTATTTATTAATAAATTTTTATTGTTAATTGAATTTTTAACCACAAATTAAATAAACATATCATATTTGTTTTTTCCATCAAACTAGTTTTTAAATTTTCCAAATTGTTTGTTTTATCAAGTAGTAGGGAAGGAAGATGTCGGCTAAATTTGCAAGATTTTTAACAAAAATAAATAGATAAAATATCTATACACAAGCAATTTTATATAACTGTAAAATTAAATAGTAGGTGTCAAAACCAAACCAAGTCGTTCCACATTTATTTCTTTTATTTTCAATTTTATTACATCACCAACTTCACTATTTTCAGATTCAATTAATCTTCCGCGAATTCCAAATTCTCTTAATAAAACTAGTTTAGAATCACTTTCACCCTTTTCAATAACCAAACCTGTTAATTCTGGCAATATATTAAGATTAATCATTCGGTTCAAAAGCGTTAAAACCCAAAATTTTGAACTTTTTTGAGATTGCCTAGAAATTTCTCTCTCTTGTTTCCTTATATGTCGAGAGTAATCAATTAAAATATCATTTTGGAATGGATAAGGTGATTTGAGTAATGAAGCTTTTATTTGCCAATGAGCTAAAAGATCAACATATCTACGTAAAGGTGACGTAACTTTAATATAACCATCCTTAATGCCTAAAGCCCAATGTGGGCCATATTCAGTTGTAAGTTCTACACGTTTTATTGTTGATCGTATTTTGTTTATTGAGCTAAATGGTATGGAGCCAGTTTTCATATCAATATTCGATAATAACTCTTCAATAGCTGACGAGTCTGGTGGATTTTGAAGGCGATATAAAATTGGTATTTTGTGTTCACGACAATATTGTGATGCAACTCTACCTGCCATGATCATAAATTCTGCTACCATCATACGGGATGGTGAAAAGTTGCCTTTATCTAAACTCACATGTATACTAGGCACACCAGAGAAAACTATTGGATAATTAGGATTGACGGTGGTAACTGGTAAATTCTTTGGTGATAATTGAATGCTTGATTGTAGATTGTATTGTGTATAACTACCAGCCTTGACACGATTATGCATGTGAAAAACAGAAATTTTTTGTAAATCAATAAGATCTTTCTGAAGTTGTGGTGATGGAGGTTTTTTCTTAATCTTTGTCAAAGTGGCTGGATAAGGATGGTAATGTTGTTGCTGCTGAACAAATTCAATATCATCCTTACTAGCAGGAACATAATCCCATACCAATAAATCATCAACATCATCATAGTGTAAAGTATAAATCTTCCTAACAATACCAGGTCTGATTTTATAATCTAATATATTTCCATTATCGTCAATTCTTAAACTAAAAGTCATGACATAATTTCCCGTCTTCCCTGAATCAGCACCTAAGCTGAATCTTTTTTCATTCATAACTGACGGGATCATTGGATAATTTCTTTCAGGAAAATAAACACTTTGTACTCTAGAAAATGCAATATTAGATAATGCATGATGTGGCGGAATATATGCTGATGGATCAGCAACATGAACATGTATCCAGGTTGAAGAGACATCAGACCCATCAAGTGATGATGATTTTGAGACACGTTCAATTGATATCCCATCATCCAATTCATGCGCAGTAGGATCATCTATTGTGTAAACAGGAAGATTACCAAAATCATGTCGAATATTTTCACATATATCATACGGATAAAAGTCTTCGGAACTTAATTTATCAATCATCGTCTTAATCATCGTTTTCTTGGACTTTCTTTTAGAATTATTATTATTACTATTGATCATAGAATTATGAGGTTTTGAATTTATTAATTTTTCAGCAAATTGTGTTGCTAATTCAAATTGTTTATCAGATTGCCTTGACACTCCATGACCATTTAATTTCAATGTACTCTCATAAACTTGTAGATTTTCCCAAGGTGCCCATACACCAATTTCTTTTAAAAATATTGTTGCACATTCTTTGTCTAAAGGTCCATCATATAATTTTAAAGGCTTTAAAATTGCAGCTATGAATACATCAGTATCATGATAGTATCTTGAACGTAGGATAAAAGTTTTAACAAAATTAATAAAAAGTTGATCATCACTTGTAAATTCAGGTAAATTTTCATCTTTGTTAAACGATAATTTTATTGAGTTATCTATCGTCAATGATCTCATGTATTTTATTATCAATTCTGACTTTTTTAGAAAATCGATAAACTTTTGATTATTTGAACGAACCAATTCTTTAACTTGATTAATCAAATTCACTTCGTTTTGTGGTCTTATTTCAAATTTTCCATATTCTGTTAATGATGTAGAATCTGGTATAAAATGTGTATATTCTTTCATCAAAAAAATTTGTACGGCTAATAATTGCGCAGGTTCTAACTTGTCTGATTTAAATATATTCCTTGATATATCTTGTACACTAATGGTATCAACATCTTCTTCAAGAGCATATTTATCATGGATTTTTCTTAATTCTAAGATTTTTGATTGCATAAGAATTAATGCAGATTTGTACAAATCACCACCAATTTTTGCATAGTTTATAGGAATTGAAGAACCAGTAGTAGTATTTAACAAATTTCCATTTGCTACCTTTGTGTGAGCATAACCAGGTATTTGAAAGAAAACATCATCATCTCGATGTGTTAAAAAATGTCCATTATGAAGTAAAATTGTGTTTTTCCCATTGCTGTCGGGATCTTTTCGCAACTTGGTGATAATTCCAGCAAATTCTCTTCCTGTTCTATTTTATCATTAATCAAAATTTAATCATAATTATCACAATAATCTTCAATAAATATAATATTAATTATTACTTTGTGATTGCTACAAAGTCACCAATCTCTAAAGGAGCTCTTGAAAGAATGGAACTTTCAGAATTCCAAAAACTTTTAATAGAGCTTCCTTTTATTTTCCGGGCTAGAATCATACTTTTGAAATAAAGTGAAATGTGGTCACAAATAACTAAATTTATCAAACCAATTTTAGATGTTCATTAAAAAAAAATGATAGAAATTTTAAACACGAATGACACGTAAAAAGTTGGACTTTTAAAAAAAAATTTTTAAAGAGGTAAATATGAAAAATCGGTAGAATTATTTCCAGCTTTAACATTTATAATTTTTTAGTCTTTTTCATAATATTCTTTTTGCAAACACTGGAAATAGCAAAAATGGTTTATACAGATACTCACCGTTTATTTGTTCAAAGTGCTATCTCTCGATGCTTTTTTAGCGAAGTTGAAGGCATAGAAATTTACAGAAAGGTTTGTGAAATAACTAAAGGTAATAAATAATAATAATTTATATTATTAAATCATTAAAACTTTTTTATAATAACGATACTGATGATCTTATTGATAAATAGATAATAGACAAGAAAGTTTTCAAAATTTTATTACTACAGTTAATCAAAAATTGAATACAATAGATTTAGAATTTAGAAAATCTTCTGATGAGGAAGATGGTCATATTGTTTGGGCTTTGGTATATAGTCGTAATATTTTATCTTATTTTGTTTTTAGAAACCTTTTTTTGGTTAAAAGTGTTATTTTTTTCAAAAAAATAAAAATAAAGGTCAATACTAAAGGCGATGAAGTGGCAAAATTAGCTACTGAATATACTGCTTCAGAAATTTCATATCTTAAACATTTGGTAAATTTTAAAAATCTATTTGATCTTTTGTGATTATTATAATTATCGATAATATTAATCTATAATTTATCAATAATAATATAACTTATTATTCTGATAAAAAGATAGAATTAATTGTTACAGCAGATGATGAAACCTATTCTGTATCATCTATTATAGCATTAAAAGAATCATCTAAACTTAAAACTCAAATGACTAAAGTTGCAACAGAAGCATTATTACAAAAATTTGTCAATGATAAATGGTTGATACAGTCACGGTATGTTGGAATGATAAACTATGCATTTATATATTAAAACCGTCGTTTATATATATTGTTTGTGTGTATTAATTTAGTGAAGGAAAATACTCTTTAAGTCAAAGAACAATTCTTGAATTACAAAGTTATTTAAAGGAAGAATTTGACGAAAATATTTTTGAGTGTGTAGTATGTTTAGAAATTGTAACTAAAGTAAGCAAATCATCATCATCACTTATCATTCATTATATCATTCATTATATCATTCATTATATCCAATGTTTAATGTTTAATAAATATTATGATAGGGTCAAAGATGCGAATTACAAGATTGTAAGGCTCGTTTGCATAATCATTGTGCCGATCGTTATTTTTCACAAAACGAAAAGATTTGTCCTATATGTAAAATTAATTGGTCAGAATCTAATAGATTTGGTTTATAGATGAAAATTGTATTCCAGCCATTTTACAAGTAACTTTAAATTTTTTTAAAATAATATCTATGTATATCTATTTTTAATTGCTATGAATAAATTTTGTCCAAAATTAACAATTTATTTTTTGATGTTAACAAATGGGCGTAACGTATAGGGTGACCAGAAAAATGCGTTTGCACACAACCCGCAAATTTCATATATAGATAGGTCAGCAGCAAAAATTCCTGTTTGTTATACGATTTGACCCAGATCAAAATTAAGTTTAAAATATAACCTGACCCTAAGGTTTGCAAAAAATTAGAAAAAAGAACATAATTTGTCCCATAATATATACTAGCATTAAAATTTTAAAACTATCTACTATAACGAAATTAAATTTGATTTAACTGATAATAATTCACTGAATTTAATATTTTAATGATCTTTTTTAATGTAAAGGTTTTGTGTAATTTTTTTTTTTTTTGAGAGTTTGTAAGATTTAGAGATCCTTCGAAAAGTTATTTTTATTATTATTACCAGTAGC